AACAGTAACAAAATTACAGTTATGATGTAGCAATGAAATAATTTTATGGTTGGGGGCAATCATAACAGGAGGAACTGTATTAAAGAGTCTGAGTATTAGGAAGGTTGAGAACCACTGATGTAAGAGCTTACTTTGAGGTTTATTTTGCTTTTCCAAATAAGTCTTATTCCTGCTAGTGCCTTAAGTGATCTGTGGAATTATACTGCTACCCATGTTCTTCTATGAAATAGCCTAATTCTACAAGTGGAAAACAATATTGTCCTATGACTAAAATATTGAGGTCAGGGCTAATTTCTCCTGCTCCTTCAACTTTCACAGTAATCAATCCCCAGAATGACGGGTCCATCCTCTGGGGACAGCTCCTTCATCCTGTCCTTCTTGTCTCTGCCCTGCTGGGGCTGTGCATGACTCTCCATCTGATGTATCTCTTTGACTTCTTAATTAGACACCCTCCATTAATCTTTATGACTTTTATCCAGTCTTAGGATTATTTCAATGGTCTGCTTATTATTTTCTGAGATAATAACTAACCCTTCCCCCATGACTCACAGTGTTAAGTCAAAACCCTGAAGGCTGAGTGGCGAAACAAACCAAGCAGAATTCTGGCTATCTAAACATACTGATACTCAGGAGAACTCACTGTTATCTATATAACACCCCAGCTCCAAACTGCCCTGTTTGCTTTCTCATGTCCCCATGCTATCATGTACAGCAAGTGTAATTCTGGTGTTGATGAATTCATCTATTAAAAATGAACAATCCAATTACAATCAAAGCTCTTCTCTGAGATCAAAGATTCTAGATCAAATAACCCCACAGATGAGTCTCTCCCAAACTTCAGAACATATACAATGCAAATTTCATAATTATAGATCATAATAATAGATAAATTTCATAATAGATAAACATTTCATAATTTTAATTTTATGAAAATAGATAATAATTTACCTTGACTTTTTCATCTCAATAGTACAGTACTTAAAAAAAAATAGAAAAGGGCCATGTCTTTCAAGATGACTTCTGCCTGACATATTTCACAAATTGAAATGATGAATTAAATGATGATCATGATAAAATCTAATGAACTTAATCATCCAAATGCAGCATGTAATACTTTTATTGAGAATAGAAATGACTTGGGATATTATTTCAAATGTGTATTCCTAACCAAAGCCCAAAGATTTACTTGGTATCAGGTTAAAAAAAAAAAAAAAACAAAGACCTCTAGGGAAATCTGGTGCAGGCACACATATGGTACCTTTAAGAACACTGCCATTGATTTGGTTGACAGAATAAATAATAAACTAAAACACACAAAGTATATAAACCTATTAAAATTGATAAAATCTGATCTATTGTAAACCAAAGTAAGTAAAGACATACATATTTGCATACCCTTTTTCAAGAACAAATTAGGAAAACATGAAATTTGGGGGAGGAGAGTTCTGGAAAGATTTGGAATGGCAAAGTGGAGGAAGGATATGAACAAAATAAATTGTACACATGAATAAAAAAACTCAATGAAAAAATAAAAACATTGTATTTAAAGTTTGATAGCTACCCAAAAAGGCAAATATGATCAATGCCTTGCTCAGCTATTATTGGAGAATCTTCTTCCTGCAGCAGATGGGAGCAAATACAGTCCCAACAGCCAGACATCATGCAGAGAGTGAGAGACCTTGGAACAGTTGTCTATAACTGAGAGTCTCTATCAAATACCTTCTCACAGGGATCAGGGAACACTGCAGAAGAGGAAGAAAGATTGTAAGAACCAGAGGGAATGGAGGACGCCAAGGCCCTTTGTTGTCCCTAAATCAGCAATGATTAAAATACATATGAACTCACAGAGACTGAGGAAGCCACATGGCTCTTTACCAGATGGAGTCTTAGACCTGAAAGGAGAAATGAACACATGGCCCCATCCCTAACCCAGAAAAAACAAACTACAATTAAGTGTAGGCTGCATGCCCAGCAGAGCATGGCTAACCGAAAATGAATTCAGTGGCATCTTTGGAGGCACCTTGTCTCATAATGTCCTGTCAAGTCTTTCCCTTTTCTTTCTTTCTTTTTTTTTTAAATTTATTTGTTTCTTGTGCCTTCTCTTGGGTTCTTTTCCTTCTATTTGTTTGTTTGATTTTGTTTTTTGTTTTTTTTTTTTGGATTTGTTTGTTTGTTTGATTGGTTGGTTTTTCAAGATAGAGTTTCTCTATGTAGCCCAACTGTCCTGGAAGTAACTCTTGTAGACCAGGCTGACCTCAAACTCACACAGATCCACCTGCCTCTGCCTCCCGAGTGATGAGATTAAAGATATGTGTCACAACCAACAAGCTCATTTTTGTTTTATATATTATATTTCGATTATTATCAGCTCATAAAAACCTTTTGTTTTTAAATAAGAGACAAAAAATGGAAGTGGAAGTAATTGGAAGGGGGACCGCAATCAGGATATATTATGTAAGAAAAGAATATGCTTTCGATAAAAGAAAAAACTTTGATAGTTATAGTATATATGACGTAAGTCTTCCTTCTGGTTTACTTTTTGTCATAATCCAATGTCTTTCTTAAAGCTAAATTCCTCAATTACAACTCACCAGAGTATGCTCCATGCAGACTTGGAATGCAAATTATTAGCTACAGCAATTAGGTGCTTCCTCCAAGATCAACAATAGCCATTTGTTTGATAACAAGTCTGGAATATTTCTTTTTACGCCCACAGTATCCTGTTGCTTTAGTTTTCTAACACTGTCCTGTTTGCATTAACACCCTTCAGAAAATGATTTAGGACTTTTCATTACATCATACAACCATGAAAAAAAAAAACATGAGAAAGAGGGACCTACTTTCAATTATCTGCATAGCCTTGGATGCCACAACGAAGGCTGGATGCCCAGCTCTCTTCATAGCTTAATAGCTTTTCTCTATTTGTGAATTTAAAAAAGCGACATGGGTAGCTATGCATTAACAAAACTTTGTACGAGTCAATACTATGTATAATTGACACCTTGTTGTTATCTTGAGGTTTTAGGTCACTTACAACCGGTGTCCTTCAGGTTCTCCACTGCTTGAAGGGAACTGAGGTGCTTGGAAAGGCCACTAGGGAGAGACATGGAGTCTTTTACACCAGTGCTTGGCTCACTGTGTGCTGTGTACTCAGCAAGGGCACAGTGGTTTCCTGAAAACATCTGGAAAATAGGCTGTCAAGTCCTCTTCACCCACTAGGGAACAGCTAAGTATACAGGTTCACTGCCCACGAAACTCAAAGACACAAAATAAAGTGTCCTCCTACAGATAAAAAAAAAATTGTATTTCATATCAAATATCAGTGCTTGTTCACCATACAGAATTTAAGAAGTGATTAAATACAGAGACTTTTGCAAACAAAATATATAGAATTTCAGAGAAAAGGAGAAATTTAAGGCATGCAAATGACAATAGCCTTGAAAATTAAAAATGCAGGGACTTTTTTTTTTATCTCGCAACTCTCTACCTTTCTGGAATACACACCTGAGCGCTCAGACATACACACACACACATTTGTGCTTTGGTACAGTCACTCAGGACTGACTCGGTGGTGACTGACTATTGTGTAAACTATTGGCTTATCAGAAATTGTTTCTCATTTTACTCAGTGCTAAACACTTCTCTACGGTAAATCAAAGCCAGTTATCAGAGGCAATGGAGATGCTGTCTGAGTAAGTCATACCTATGAAGGTTGAAGAGTCAGAAAGTGAATGGGTCTGGCAAAACTGAAGGGCTCATATTACAAGAAGCAGTATTAGATTCAGAGCTTGATTTTGGTGGTACTTTGAACAATAATGTTCTCATCCCTATAGTTACACTAATAAGTTTACGTTGAGAGTTACGATTCTCATAATGAACTACAAATTCTGATACTTTTCCCAAATGTAAACACAATGGTAGTTGGCTTGAGTCTTTGTCCGTATCTAAGCGTAGTCTCAGACAAAACCCAGGGAGGGTGATTTGATCTCTGCACATTCCGTATGAGATCCCCAATAAAGTCAGCTGAAAGTTGAGAGGAACACACCCCTTGCCTGTTTCCCACTTGCAGTCAGCTACAGTAAAACCACTTCAGTCTGCTCCCAGCCAGAGGGGCTTCGCGGTGCAACTTCTTCAGGAGCTCAAAACTTTAAGATTTACAGATATTCCTTAGAAGGTCCCAAAGAGAAATACACAAGAACAAGGTAAGATAACTTCTTTTGAGAATCAGAATGTCTTCCAAAGTGCCTTAACATGTTTAGGAAAGGGACTTTAAAAAAAAAAAACTTAAAAACAAAATAAAACACATTGACTCTTCAGTGTTTACTATAACATAGCCAGAGTTTAGAGACACAGTTGATAAGGCTGGGGAAAAGTCTCTCTTGACAATGATTTAACAGATTCCAATCTCTGTTACATCTTTGATTTGAGCAAGTTCAAGTTAATCCTAAAATCTAAAACCGCCAAGACTAGTTACTAAATTTACTTCCACTTTTTCCAAACTAGTTCCCAGTGCCCAGGGCTCCCGCTATAAACACTCCAGGGCCAGAGAGCTAAGTTGTCTAATCACACATCACAGAAGCTCCTTGGAGTCCAAAGAACCAGCCAGGAAAAGAAAAGAACATTTCCCTACAGTAATGAAATTCTCTCTGGAGCCTTGCCATGGGGACAGGGTGCAAGCTCTCCTGTTGGCACCAGGATACCATTCTGAAAGAGAATGCTCCATTTCTGTCACAGGACACCTTTTTGGGCCCCTTCACTCCTCTAAGTTGCTTTCTTTCTAGTAACAGCTTTCCCCCTGGAAAAAAAAAAAAAAAAAGAAGGAGAAACTTTGCTCCAAGGAAGCGTGCACCAATCTCTCACTTTGGATCCAAAGGTTAAATAAATAATTATGCACACACTCTCCACTGCAGGTTCTCTGTACACCCAGCAAAGCCAAGCCCACAGTCCAGGACTGGGAGCTGAGGAGTCTCAGCCCAGCCCGGCGGGGTCCGCGCACCTACCTTGACCTCGCCCCCGTCGGGCTCCGCTTCCGAGAAGCCCAGTCCCGACTCGAAGGCGGCGGCGGTGGCGGGCGCCTCGCGGGGACCCGGGATCAGCGCAGCGGCGAGCAAGGAACACGCCAGAGCCAAGAAGCCCAGCAAGTGCATGGTGGAAGGACCGGGAGCGGGGAGGCCGGTCCGCTGGCAGACGCAGGCTGGGGCGCGAGGCTGAGGTCCTGTCCTCGTCCCAGTCCCGCGGTTTCCTTCGGGGGACCCCCCTGGGTGAGCGGATCCCGGGGACTCCGCAGCTCCCAACTTTTGCCCTCCGATATGGCAGCCCGCGCCTGGGAGAGGCGCCGGGTGTCAGGTACGAGGCTCACAGGAAACCGGACATCCGAGCTGCCCTCGGTGGCGGCCCGCGAGGTGAAGCGAGGGCGCCGGGGGCCGGCTCCGCCGCCCGCCGATCGCGGTTTTGTTTTGGCGTTTTGCAAAGAAGGGGAGGGGGGTTGGTTAAGCCCAGTCACCCCGAGATGTTCCACTGGTCCCGAGGAGCCCGTGGGTCCCTCGTCCCCCTCCTCCCTCCCCTCGCCCGAAGTGAAAGGAGCCGGGGCCGCGGGAGCCGCGGGAGAGGCGGTGGCGGCGGCGGAGTCGGGGGGCGGGAGGAGGGCGGCGGGGCGCCCGGCGGCGGCGAGGCCGGCGAGCTCCCGGGCGCTCGAGCCTCCTGCGCGCGCGGGGCCGAGCGGTGGCGGCGGCGGGCGCAGGGGCAGGGCATGACTGATGCGCCCTCTGCCTGCGCTTATGTGAGAGAAAGCGGCCGAGGGAGGGAGCGTGCCGAGCCCCGTCTGCCCTCCCCTCTCTTTCCCTCGGAAGCTCGCTCCCTCCAGCCTCATGCTTTCCTCCAGCCCCACCTCCATCCTCTTCTTGCTTTCCCTTTCTCTCCCCTTCTCTCTGGACTCTGCTGGGAGGGGGTGGCCGGAGGCTCAGGTTAAGTCTGGGGACTGGAGCCCTATCCTCATGTTTTAGAGGCCACATGACTGAGCTCAACTACTAAAAAGATAGGAAAGATAGGGGTAGGAGGTTTTTTTTTGGGGGGGGGTGTGGGGGGGGTGAGAATACAGTGGGTAAGGGGAGATACATGCTTTGACCCGTGAGGTCAATCTTAACTTTATGCATTCTTTGTCGTTAGAGTCCCCCCGAAGTTTGGAATCAGTCTAAGAGTTCTAAAAATCTAAAGTCATCATGGCTGAGATCTTTGGGGCCATGGAATAAGAAGTCTCATCACCACCACCACCTCCATTGTTTTCTTTGTTGCTTGAAGTAAGAATGAGGGACTTCTTAGAATACAGGGCAGTCTGTTGAGATAGTTCCAAGATTAGTGATCTTCAGAAAGTTCCATACTTATACCAGCTTGGTAGATGAGCCAGTTTTCAAGGACACTTAAAGAGACACACCCCAAAAAGTTTCCGCAAGACATACCTTCCATTTATAAGAGAAAGTCAATGAGGATGTGACAATTTATATGCTGAAAGAGCCATCTGCTGTGGTGCCTTTGTCCTTTGGAAAAGCACCCAGGGACTGTGTTGTGTTACTGGAGACTGTAGTGGCTTTCCCCCTTGGGGCTGGTGTGCATGTTGCAGAAGTTCCAGTTAAGCAGTTTCAACTGAATTCAAAACATAAAGGGTCTTTTTCATTTAATAAAAAAACTATATTAAGTACACTAACGTATAAAATTGAGGAAACCTTTTTTGTGTGATTCAAATCCTAAAATATGAAGATCTCCTTACCCAACACTTACACAAACACTCAAATACCCCTACAAACAGGGAACACTCCATGGTTTGCCTGAGCGTGTTCCCTTTACTGAGGACCAATGTTTTTGAAGTTTCCTTCCTTCTATCCATTGCTTTTGACTTTGGCATTCTGCACACTTCATCTAATCTAACTTCCACATGTACTCTGCTCGGATATTTTGGAAATATATGTCACATTCTCCCAGGCCTAACTTTTCCTACCAGTGAAAGATTCCTTTTTATTTAACCTTCAGCTCCAATTATCCTCATCCATCATGCTAAGTTTATGTTCATAAAGTATGCTGTTCAGAACATGGCTCCATACTTAAACTCCTCCATTGAAGCATGCAAGAAAAGGGTCTTCCTTGTCCCAAGCATAAGCATTTGTTGACATAGCCTTGGACCAAGTTTACTTTCTGGCAGCCAAACCCAACTCTTGATGCAATGGACACTTAAAGTTGACCAGATTTCTCAAGAAATCTGCATGCATAGTGCTATTTAGTCCCATCTGCATAGCTCTGCCTTTGTGTCAGGGTTGCCTTCCTGTGCCCTGATTTGTGCTTTGTTATTTAACATGAAGAAGTTCTACCTTGCCACAGTCGGCCCATCACAATGTGTTGAAATAATTAGGGATCTTGACTTGGTTAATACATTCCCCTCTTTCAGTGTCCTTGTTGTGGGTGTATTTAAAGAACTTATCACATTTATCTTTGTATCTTAATAAAGTTATAGGGAATGAGAATCTAAAGACAGGCTGGACTGGAACTCAAGTGGAAATGGAGTGCCCTTGTAATCTTGTCACAGTGCAGTGATCCTCGACTTTTATTGTACTTGGAATCACAAGGGGTGGTTGTAAAAACAGATGGTTGGGCACACCACCAGAATTTACGGCATTCTGGGAAAAGACTTGGATGTCAGCAGGCCCACATAGAGAACTTTACACATTTCCAACAGCCTCAGGGTGTAGCATGGTATGAATACCATAACATCGACAGACTCAATGTGTATCAAAATGTATTAGTGGCAGGATTTAAAAAAATCCTTAGCACATACTTTTTCCATTGAAATATAGTTAACTTCCTACTGCTATTGCTGTTTGAGGCAAATAATGATCTATTTAAATAAAAAAAAATGTCAGTAATCTTTCAAAAGAATACAGTAGAGCTGGCAATAGAGCCCAGTGTTAGAATGCTCACCCACCATGCAGGAAGCTTAGGGACTCAAAGCAGCAGCAGCAGCAGCAGCAGCAGCAGCAGCAGCAGCAGCAGCAGCAGTAGTACCATTTCTTAACAGCATACAATTTAAAGAATAAAAAGTCTTGGAAAGTAAAATGAAAGACTTTCTGGGGATTTTTTTTCTCAACTTAACACCTAAAAAATTATATAAACCATTAACAGACTTTGAAGTTTAAAAATGATTGTTTTTACTGGGTTTTGTTTTGATATTTTTTTAAATTGGTGACTTCCTCCAAGATCTTTTAAGACCCACTGCTACCTTTCTTTTAAATGTGCTTCTAAAGGAAGGTATGAGGGGCATTTTATTCTTTGCTTTATTTTGTTTTCCAGAAAGTATTACATTGTTGGTAGACACTGAGATGAGAGAATTGGATAAAAGTTGGATGATACCTACGGTTTGATATAGCCATTGGGTTTCAAATCTTTTTGGAAGACAGTTTGACGGCAAATAACAATATGTCTATGTTTGCATATTATCAGAGGTTTTTAGCCTCCTCAGGGCCAAATTCTGTGATCTGTCACCTTGAGAGTCCATCAGAGTCAAGTAGTAGTGATGCAAGAAAGGAATTTTCTTTGGGTCTGAAACCCAGGTTTCACTTTCACAAGTTTGCATACTGACCTTTCAGGGTCTCCTTCCTACCCGGAGTCTCACGTCACATACTGCCTGGCCTCAGTGGCCCTCTGAAAGCGAGGAAGAATCCATGCCCCCATCCTTCTAATGTTAGTAGAATGTAAACAAAATTACCGACATCAGATAAAGCCTGGGCTCTGTCTGGACCATAGCTTCTGTGTGCTGACTCTGAGGCAATATTCCTCAAAAACTACATACTCAACACAGATTCCCTGGACTGGGCCTTGTATGACCACCTGATGGATTTCCTTGAGGACTGAGGGATTGACAACACTTTTGCAGATGAGTTGGTGGAACTCAGTACAGCCCTAGAGCACCAAGAATATATCACCTTTCTCGAGGACCTCAAAAGTTTTGTCAAGAGCCAGTAGAACTGTCAGAGACCAAGGGCTTTAATTTAAGTGGCAAGCTTTGGCCAGTGAACAAAAGCTACCTTGACATCAGAATCATGCTTTGAAATGGCTGTCATCCTAATATCATGGGAGGAAAAAAAGCAGGTTTAAATTATTTCTGTTAGTGCTTCCGTTTACTAGTCACTTGGATATTTTTCTCCTGTACAAATCTATTGTAGATTTTTGTATAACAATGATGGACAATAAAATTTTATCTCCTCCAAAAAAAAAATATTCCTCAAAAGATGGCACCTCACTAATGTTGGATTCCTCAGCCCCAGATAACCAGCATCTATTGTCCAGTAAAGCAAAGGTTTTAACCGAACAGATCCTAAGTCCGTAATATCAAATAAATGGATCTAAGAGAGTCTTTGCCTCCCTCTGCAACTTTGCAAGCCAGTCCTCCATTGTAGGCATATCTCTTAATGTTCCTGTCTTCCAAGATCCTACAGCAGTTCATTCAGCTCTGCACACTCACAGCCATTCTCTATCTCAGGATTCCAAAATTATTCCACAGTCCTTCTGAGAAGAATAACATCATCAGAACCACCATGGCAATTACTCCACTCTCGGTACCATAATCTGCTTTAGCAAAAGATTCTGTAGAAAAGGGGTTCTGTAAAAGATGAGCACTAATAGAACAAATACATACATGCACACATACATATGTGCATATTATATTTTGGATTTATTAGATTGACTTACAGTATGTGGTCTGAAGAGTCCAACTATGGTTATCCCACACTGGAGAGGCCACAAGCCGTTCAATTCAGGACCCCCAATATCTCATTAGTTCCGTCTGATGCTGAAGGCCTGGAAGAGTCCAGGAGAGCTGCTGGTCTTCAGTCTACACTGGAATTGCTAAGAAGTGGGTTCTAAAATCTGTGAAGGAGTGTCTTAAAATTCCTAGCAGCAGGAGAGATGAACTTACTAGGGAAATTGAGGACAAACAGTTAAAAGCAAATTTTCTTCCTCCATGTCTTTTTATCCAGCCTCCACCAGAAGATTCTGCCCATATTTAGGGTGGATCTTCTTGCTTCATAATCTGATCAAGAAAAACCCTTGCAGAAATGCCCTGCAAATTATGTCTCAATTGCTTCTAGATGCAGTCAATTTGACAACCAAAATTATCCATCATAGTAGCTTAAATTAATTTTGTATTTGTCTTTAACTAAAAACTTATTTGTGTTTTATAGTTTGAAAAGAGAACGTTAGCTATTTTACAATTCTTCTCTATGTAGTTAGGCTATAAATAATGTACATTTTTAGAAGTACAGTAGCATTTTCTTTGTACCTAAATGGTTGATTATTGTAACTAATTATATATATACCATATTTGCTAGATATGAATTTTTGAGCTTCTTTGGCAATATTAAAATCACACATTGGTCAAATTTTAGAAATCTCCTGTTATACTGGTCTTTTTTCCTATTTCAGACTGCAGATTTGATTAAATGTCTTTACTACTATAAACTTTCCAGTTTAAAATACTGTCTATTCCCATTAAAATCATAGTCTGACAATTTGACACCAGGTATAAACATGAAATAATAAAATTGTAACCATGTCAACATGACTTGCTAATCTCTTCTAGAAAGCTCTAGT